TATTTCATTTTGATACCATTCCTCCTCTCACACTAACAAGCGAGGAGGGAGACTCCAGCCTTGGTGAAAGGCCCGCATGAAAAAGGTGGGGGTCGGGTGAGGGAAGCTAGGCCCAGGATAGGAACTGCGGCATGTTCCTGTAATCCTAGGATTTTAGGGGACTGAGGCAGGAGGGTTGGTTGAGGACAGGAGGTTGAGTCCAGACTGGGCAACATGGCCAGACCCTGTTTCTCAATTTTTTTTTTTTTTTAAAGAAAGAAAGAAAGAAAGGCCAGGCATGGTGGCTCACACATGTAATTCCAGCACTTTGGGAGGCCAAGGCAGGCGGATCACCTGAGGTCAGGAGTTCGAGACCAGCCTGGCCAACATGGTGAAACCCTGTCTCTACTAAAAATACAAAAGTTAGCAGAGTGTGGTGGCAGGTGGCTGTAATCCCAGCTACTCGGGAGCCTGAGGCAGGAGGATTGCTTGAACCCGGGAGGTGGAGGTTGCAGTGAGCCAAGATCGCGCCACTGCACTCCAGCCTGGGAGACGAGAGCGAGACTTCATTTCCAAAAAAAAAAAAAAAAAAAATGAAAAAAAAAAAAAAAAAAAATGTAAAGAAAGAAAAAAAATAAATAAAAGAAAAAAGATAAATAAGAGAAAACAAAAAAAGCCCAGATGGTAAGCCTGGGCACACTTAGGCGACAACTAAATATAAATATCTGGGCTCATGCCTGTCACCCCAGCACTTTGTGAGGCCGAGGCAGGAAGATCGCTTGAGCCCATGAATTCAAGATCAACCTGGGCAACATGGCGAAACCCAGTCTCTTCTAAATATACAAAAAGTTAGCCAGCAATGGTGGCACACACCTGAGGTCCCAGCGACTCACGAGACTGAGGAGGGAGGATCACCTGAGCTCGGAAGTTCAAGGCTGCAGTGTGCCAAGAACACGCTACTGCACTCCAGCGTGGGCAAGAGTTAGATCCTGTCTCAAAAAACAAACCTCTGTGAATGCCCCTCGAATTGTGCTAACAGAGCCTTGTCCTGGGGCCTCCTCAGACTCTGGGAGAGAGAAGGGGCCCGGCCGGTTGGCAGATTTCCTTTTATTGGTTCTAGCCAGTTTGTGGAAGGAAGAGATGAGGCCGTCTAGAGGCCAGTGGGCTCGCCCAGTGCCCCAGACACTGCCACCCTGAAGTAGTGCTGGAAGCTGAGACGCGCTAGGGATACTGCAGCCCTAAGCATGGTGACAGGTGGAGGCAGGAGCAGCAGGTGTCCCCGATGTGTTGAGAGGCTGGTGAGGGCAGAGAGAAGTGACCTCCTGGGGCTGAGGTCCCTGCTGGCCCTACATGCTCGGAGCACGCTGGCACTTGTCTGTAGGGTCTCCGGTTACGCCAAGGCCTCCTGCCCCGACCACCAGCAACGCCGGCCTCAACATGGCTGAAGCTGGACGTGTGACCCTGACCCAGGGCGGGGGTCCTAGGAGGGCTCAGTTGCTGCCGTTGCTGTCGTCACTGTCCAGGTACGCACCCAGCTGGCTCAGGGAGGACGCGCCAGGCGTCGGGGGTGCAGGGTCGGCCTCCTTCCTGCTCTGCGGGGCTCCTGGGGGGAGAGGGAGAGTTAGCTCATCTCAGCTCCAGAGCAGACGGGCCAGGGACCAGGCCTGGAGCACGGGACCGGCCACCTCTGCAGGTTTGCAAAGCCCAGAGGCGACAGCATGTGAATGGCCTGGCCTTTCTGGATGGCACCTGATGGGACCCATCGCAGATTTACGTCTGCACACCCGGGACTCAACAGCTCCGCTTCCGAACAATGGCCCATGCAAACCCTGCCCAGGCAGGCAACGTGCGCTGCCAAAAATGGAAATGGCGCAAAGTTCAAAGTCCAGTCACTGTGGACTTAATCGCCTTAGGAAAAATCATACTAAGGCAATTAAGAGGGGCAGATTCTATGCCCGGCTGTGAAAGCCACTCTGACTCTCGGGCTTTTCTTCTGACAAATGGGATAATTTTTTTTTTTGTTTTTTTGAGACGGAGTCTCGCTCTGTCACCCAGGCAGTGGTGCGATCTTGGCTCAGTGCAACCTCGGCTTCCCAGATTCAAGAAATTCTCCTGCCTCAGCCTCCCAAGTAGCTAGGATTACAGGCACCTGCCACCATGCTTGGCTAATTTTAGTAGAGATGGGGTTTCATGATGTTGGCTAGGCTGGTCTTGAACTCCTGACCTCAAGTGATCTGTCGGTCTTGGCCTCCCAAAGTGCTGGGATTACAGGTGTGAGCTACTGCGCCTGGCCAGATGGCATAATTTTTACCAGCACTGATAAAAATGTCTCAAATGTCTCACAGTCTCGTCGTGTGCCAGGGTCTACTCAAGTGCCACCGCTCACGGAATCAACCCAAACCGGGAGCCGACTCTACCTAAGTGAGGTAGGTCCCCTTGGCTGCATTTTACATGACACGACACTGAGGCCCCGCTGGGGGGAAAGTCCCTTGGCCAAGGCCATAGGACAAGCAGGTAGGGGTGCAAAGTACCTGCCCCCCGGATGCTTGGCTCCGAATTCTGGTCTTAACCACCTGGCAATGCTGACCCCACTCCCATCCTCCATCCCCCGGGGCTGGGGGTGTGGGACTCTCGTCCCTACAGAGCACCAGGTGTGTGACAACAGAGACACACATGCCATACGGACGGGGGATCCTGGCACCTGCTGGCAGCGAAGGCTGGGCAGGGAAACACGGATTCAACATTGATTTTATACATTCCCACAGGATTTGGGCTTTAAAAGCAAGCACTGGCTCTTTTTGTAATTGAAAGACAAAAAGGCCGGGCGCGGTGGCTCACGCCTGTAATCCCAGCACTCTGGGAGGCCGAGGTGACTGGATCACCTGAGGTCGGGAGTTCAAGACCAGCCTGACCAACATGAAGAAACCCCATCTCTACTAATAATACAAAAGATTCGCCGGGCGTGGTGCTGTAGTTCCAGCTACTTGGGAGGCTGAGGCAGAGAACTGCTTGAACCGGGAAGGCGGAGGTTGCAGTGAGCCGAGATGGCACCACTGCACTCCAGCCTGGGAAACAGAGCAAGACTGATTCAAAGAAAAAAAAAAAAGAAAGAAAGAAAAAAGACAGAAATAAGCTGCCCGCCTTCTCTGCTCACTCCACTAATTGGTCCTGTGGGGGTTGCAGGCCACCCTCAACCCACCCCATGAAGCCTCTGTAATTGCACAGGGAGCGCTGCCGCCACCTGGAGGTCACTATGGAAACCGCGCCCGGCTCTGGGAACTCTTGTGACCTTACCTGGGGCAGGGGCTGCCTGAGGCTGCCCATTGCTGCAGTCCAGGTCGGCCTTTGCCTTCTTCACCACGACCAGCCGCGACAGCGGGGGCCGGCTGCCCAGGCTGCCAACGCTCTGCTCCCAGACCTCCAGCTTTCTCTTGGGCTTTGGGGCCTGTAGGTGATGGGGACACGTGTGGGGGTCTGGCCCGGATCCAGGGCCCAGTCTGGCCCCTCTGCCCTCAACCCCTGCTCACTGCCCCATGCCCCTCTTCCACTGCTGCGCTGCCCACGTTCCTCCTCTGCTCTAAACTCCTCTATGGCTCCCCACTGTCCTAGGCTTGGCACTCAAGGTCTCTGTCCATTCTCCATCCCACATAGCCTGCCCTGACACTTCCTGAATCACAGTGACTTCTCATCTCCACGCCTTTACCCATGCCATTCCCTTCACCAGGGATGCCCCCTTCTCCATGCACTCGCTTGGTGAACTCCTACTCACCCTTCAATACCCAGCACAAGACACCCCTCCTCTGAGAAGCCCATCATGGTTCAAGCTCACATGCAGGCTGCATGTCCACGCTCACAGTGCCCTCTGCTGGCTGTTATAACTCTCTCCCCAGCTCTGCTGTGAGCTCCTGTCTTCCCCACTGCTGGCTCTGCGGTGCCACAAACAGTTCCTGGCACAAGGAGGTGCTCAATGTACTTGAGAGAACGCATGAAAATGGAGGAAGCCGCCTTGGGAAAGAGTTACGGGCAGATAGAAAACACTTCCAGTTCCTTCACTGCAACAGAAGGGACCTGTTAATCTATTTTATTTATTAAATTTTTTTTTGGAGAAGGTCTCACTCTATTGCCCAGGCTGGAGTGCAGTGGTGCAATCATAGCTTGTTGCAGCCTCGAACTCCCAGGCTCAAGCGATTCTCCTGCCTCAGCCTCCTGCAGGTGCACGCCACCATGCCGGGCTAACATTTTTAATTTTTGTAGAGACAGGGTCTCACTCTGTTACCTGGGCTGGTCTCGAACTCCTGGCTCAAGCAATCCTCCCATCTCAGCGTTCCAAAGAGCTGGGATGATAGGCGTGAGCCACTGCATCTGGCCTCTTTAATCTGTTTTATGTTTAAATAGAGGAAGTGGTAACCACTGGGTTAAGGAAGTCCCAATGGGTGCTCTACCCTCACGGAGCTCACTGTGTGGGGAGGGAGAGGAACAAGGAGACCAACACGCAGGACTACATCCATCTGGGTGAGAGAGAAGCCAGGGTGCATGAGCTTGAATTGTGAGGATGAGCTTCTCAAAGGAAGGGTGTCTTGCATTGGGTATTGAAGGGTGGGTAGGAGTTCACCAAGCGAGAAGGAAAAGGGGACATCCCAGGTAAGGGGAATGGCACAGGTAAAGGTGTGATGAGAAGCCACCGTGTGATTCAGGAAGTGCCAGGGCAGGTTATGTGGGATGGAGAATGGGCAGAGGCCTTGAGTGCCAAGCCGACGGTGTGAGGGGCGGCCACTGCTAAGGTGGTGGAGAGGCCTCCTTAAAGTTGTGGCTCTGGGCCGGGTGCGGTGGCTCACACCTCTAATCCTGGCACTTTGGGAGGCTAAGGTGGGTGGATCACGAGGTCAGATCGAGACCATCCTGGCTAACACAGTGAAACCCCATCTTTACTATAAATACAAGAAATTAGCCAGGCTTGGTGGCACATGCCTGTAATCCCAGCTACTCGGGAGACTGAGGCAGGAGAATCGCTTGAACCTGGGAGGTGGAGGTTGCAGTGAGCCGAGATTGTGCCACTGCACTCCAGCCTGGGTGACAGGGCGAGACTCTGTCTCAAAAAAAAAAAAAAAAGTCGTGGCTCTGGGCTGATGTTAGAATGAGGAAAACAAGTCAAAAGGCACAGATGGCCAGGTGCAGTGGCACACACCTGTAATTCCAACACTTTGGGAGGCCGGGGCGGGTGGACCACTTGAGGTCAGGAGTTCAAGACCAGCTTGGTCAACATGGTGAAACCCTGTCACTTTATTAATAAAAATAAAATACAAAACAGCCAGGTGTGGCAGCACACGCCCATAATCCCAGCTACTGAGGAGGCTAAGGCAGGACAATTACTTTAGCCTGGGAGGCGGAGCTTGCAGTGAGCGGAGACTGTGCCACTGCACTCCAGCCTGGGCGAAAGAACGAGACCGTCTCAAAAATAAAAATAAGATACCTAGGTTAGTTCCCAAACCTGTTTCTACAGGTGGTACTCATCATCATTAAACTAAACGAAGGATTGGGAGGCCAAGGTGGGAGGACTGCTTGAAGATAGGAGTTTGAGACCAGCCTGGACAACATACAGACTCATCTCTTGGAAAAAAAAAAAAAAAAACGAAAATTAAAAATGAGCTGGCTGTGGTGGCATGCACTTGTAGTCCCAGCTACGTGAGAGGCTCAGGTGGGAGGATCATGTGACCCCAGGGGTTGGAGGCTGCCGTGAGCTGTGACCACATCACTGCACTCTAGCCTGGGTGACAGAGCAAGACCTCATCTCTAAAATAAACCAAGAAAATGCAAGTGTGGAGATATTCCTTCCTATAAAAGTTAGGGTGAAGGTTTGAAAAGTCTTGATGAAGGTGTATCACGTAAAACCAAATAAAACACCTGCTATAAAATCAGGTACAGGCACAAGACTGAGGGAATAAATCATAAAAAGTTGGACTGCTTTCAAAGTAGCTTTACTCTGTTGATTCATTTAAAAAAAAAAGAGAGGAAGCTGTAGACAATGAATTCTGGGAGTGGTTTATGCAAGAACCACAGTGTGAGAACCTGCATCAGGGGATTTAGCTTCAAAGAAAGGATCTTTTAGAAAACTGTCTTAGGGTCAGCCATGGTGGCTGATGCCTATAATCCCTGTGCCTTTAGAGGCCAAGGCAGGAGAACTGCTGGAGGCCAGGAGCAGGAGACCAGCCTGGGCAACACAGCCAGACCGCATCTCTGCAAAAACAATTTGAAAAATTAGGGGCCAGGCACAGTAGCTCACGCCTGTAATCCCAGCACTTTGGGAGGCCGAGGCAGTTGAATCACCTGAGGTCAGGAGTTCGAGATCAGTCTGGCCAACATGATGAAACCCCGTCTCTACTAAAAAATACAAAAATTAGCCAGGCGTGGTGGCAGGCACCTGTAATCCCGGCTACTTGGGAGGCTGAGGCAGAAGAATCGCTTGAACCCGGGGGGCGAAGGTTGCAGGGAACCAAGATTGTACCACTGCTCTCCAGCCTGGGCAACAAGAGTGACACTGTTTAAAAAAAAAAAACAAAAAGAACAATCGTTTCTGTGTGTCTGTGTTATTGGTTTATGAGCCCCTACTTTTACCACCTTCTTCAATGAACAAACCAGAGTGGCTGAGGCCACCTTGCATGAGTCAGCTGTGGTGGAAAATGCTGGTCATCTGCCAAAGATCCTGCCCCCCTTCTTTTTTTGTTTTTTGAGATGGAGTCTCACTCTGTCACCCAGGCTGGAGTGTAATGGTGCAATCTCGGCTCACTGCAACCTGTGCTCCCAGGTTCAAGTGATTCTCCTGCCTCAGCCTCCCGAGTAACTGGGATTACAGGCACGCACCACCATGCCCGGCTAATTTTTGTATTTTTAGTAGAAATGACGTTTCCCCATGTTGGCCAGGCCAGTCTTGAACTCCTGACGTCAGATGATCTGCCCGCCTCAGCCTCCCAAAGTGCTGGGATTATAGCACTTGGAGCCATGGCGCCCAGCCTCCCTTTGTTCTAGTCAGCAGCACAGCCAGGCACAGACCAGCTGGAGGATACATCTCACAGTCTCCTTCGCAGCCAGATGGGGCCTTGTGACTATGCCGTGGCCTATGGCGTGAGAGAAGAACTGAGCTGGGCCGCATCTGAGGCTGGGTGGTCCTCCACGCACCTTTTGCCTTCCCACAGCCAGACCCCGAGGTGCTCTGAGCCAGCTGTGAACACAGCGCAGGAAGCCGTGCTCCAGGAGAAGGAAGGAGCCTGAATCCCTGAATGGCTCCATGGAGCAGAGCTGCCCGGAAGTCCTAGAGTGTCAGCCCAGGGCTCTTACACGATTGAGAAATAAACTTCTATGTTCTTTCTTTACATTCCCTTCTTTCAGCAGCTTAAACAGGGGTTGGCAAATTACACACCCATAGGCCTGGCACAGGTTTTAGTAAATTAAGTTTTTTTTTGAGACAGAGTCTCACTCTGTCGCCCAGGCTGGAGTGCACTCGCACGATCTGGGCTCGCTGCAACCTCCGCCTCCCAGGTTCAAGCGATTCTCCTGCCTCAGCCTCCCGAGTAGCTGGGATTAACAAGCGTGAGCCACTGTACTCAGTCTTAATTTTTATTTATTTATTTTAGACAGGGTCTCACTCTTGCTCAGGCTGGAGTTCAGTGACACTGATACAGCTCACTGTAGCCTTGACCTTCTGGGCTCAAGTAGTCCTCCTGCCTCAGTCTCTCAAGTAGCTGGGACCACAGACATGCACCACCACCCATGACTAATTTTTGTAATTTTGTAAAGAAGGGGTCTCACTTTGTTGCCCAGGCTGGTCTCAAACTCCCGGCCTCAAGCGATCCTCCTGCCTTGGCCTCACAAAATGCTGGGATTACAGGCAAGAGCCACTGCACCCAGCCTATGAATAAAGCTTTTATTGGCACCAGGCAACGCCCACTTATTTACACCTGATCATGGTTGTTTTGGGCTATAGCCACAGAGTGGAGGAGTTAGGATGCAGACCGGCCTTTTAAGAAAAAGTCAAGCTCTGGCTGGGTACAGTGGCTCAGGCTTGAAATCCCAACACTTTGGAAGGCCGAGGCAGGCAGATCACGAGGACAAGAGATTGAGACCATCCTGCCCAACATGGTGAAACCCCGTCTCTACTAAAAATACAAAAGATGAGCCGGGTGTGGTGGTGGGCGCCTGTAGTCCCAGCTACTTGGGAGGCTGAGGCAGGAGAATCACTTGAACCTGGGAGGCGGAGGTTGCAGTGAACCGAGATTGTGCCACTGCACTCCAGCCTGGTGACAGAGCGAGACTCTGTCTCAAACAAACAAACAAAAGAAAAAGTCAAGCTGACCCCTGGTTTCAGCTGTCGCTAGTTCACCTGGGAGTCCCCGGGACTCAGGCAGCCCCCCTCACCTCGTCCAGGATGGCAGTGGGGTTGGGCCGAAGGGCTGGCTGCAGGGGCGCGGGGGCAGCCTCATCCTCTGAGTCGGAGTCCTCCAGCAGCCGTCGCTTTCTGGCTTCCTCCAACAGGGCTCTGTGGATACGATCTAAAAAAAAGTTAATAATTAAAGCACGCTACTGGGTGCGGTGTTCACGGCACCCGTAATCCCAGCACTCTTGAAGAGGCCCCGAGCCGGCGTGATCCGGCCCCTAGGTCCAGCAGAGTTTGAGGACCAGCCCGGCTAACCCATGGAGAAACGCCCACCTCTACACCTACAAAATACAAAAAATTAACGCTACCCTCCCTGGCCTCGAGCCCACCACCCTACTGCAGGAGGCGCTGACGGCTGGAGAATTGCTTGAAGCCTCACGAAGGTTGGAGCGTTGCAGTGAGCCAAGATCCGCGACTACTGCACTCCCAGCCTCGGGCCACACAGAAGAAAGACTCCATCTCAAAAAAAACAACACACACACGACACAAAATGAGCCAGCGCATGGTGGCACGCCACTTGTAGTCCAGACTACGTCGGAGGCGAGGCAAAGGAAATGCTTTCAACCCAGGGACAGGAGGTGTGCGGTGAGCAAGACCATGCCGTCACTGCACTACCAGCCTGGGCCACACAAGGCTGCAGACTTGTTCAAAAAAATTAAAATGAAGTGAAACATTACTGAGGCCCAATAGGGACACACCCTGTGACCCAGCTACTCCACGGAAGCTCGCCGTGGGGAGGATCAGCCTTGAGCCCCCAGGAAGGTGGGAAGTTGCAGTGAGCATATGATCGTGCGCACTGCACGCCCGCCTTGCGGTGACAAGAGGTGATACCTTGTGTCTTTTTGCTCTGTTGCTTTTTA